CCCCCCCCCCCCCCCCCCCCGAACAAACAAACAACAAAACAAAAAAAACCTTGAACCTTCTGATAAAACCCGGAAAACATTTGTACTTCTGATGCCTGAAGTTTCACGTCATTTCAAGTTCCATCAAATTGATGCCTTTATGTCCAAGTTCCATCTAGTTGTGGCCCTTTATGTCAAGTTCCATCTAGTTGTGGCCCTTTATGTCAAGTTCCATCTAGTTGTGGCCCTTTATGTCAAGCATCATCTAATTGTTGCTCTTAATGTCTATGTCATCTAGCTGTCATCCCAGTATGTCCAAATTCATTCACTTGCAGCCCATTATGTCCAGTTTCATGTAGTTGTTAATTCAAGTACCCTCTAATTGTGGTCTTTTGTGTCCTGTTTCAGCTAGTTGTGACCCTATATTAGTAACTGCAAGTCATTTCTCTCCTCTTGTAGTTCTTTATGTCATTGTCAAGTTCCATCTAGTTTTATGCCCTCTAGTGCTACCACTAAGTGTCATGTGGTAGTCGAGTTTCACACTTGATGTCAAGTTGCATTTAGTCATGGGCCTTTATCATCATGTCAAGTCAACATCCATCCAGTCGTGTCCTTTGTGTTAAATTTCATCTTGATGTCGCCCTTTATGCTTAGTTCCATCTAACTGTGGTCCTGTGTGTCTAGAGTCTCTATTTTTAGAATCTTGACTCCCCATTCCTTTAGCCTGTTTAGTTCATTGCCAGCCCTTCATCTCTCCACTGACGCAACATCCACGATGAGTGCGTTAGTGTCAACAGTGTAAATTATACCACTCTTTGGTTAGAAAAGGAAGCAACTTCTGCATAGAAATCGTGACCGGTAGGGATAATAGTCTGTTTTTTCAAACACACACAGAACATGATACAAAATATTGAAGAGAAAAATAAATGCAAAGCTATCGAAACATCAGGGAAGATCCCCAATGGTTAGGTTCCCATAAATTTGATTGTCAAGCAGGTAGTAATACTGTAGTGGAATTTTTTTTTTCTTCCATAAAATGAAAATCTGTGTTACATATACTAATAATTTTACCCATTTGTGAATTTTTATTTTGTATTTTTGTACAACATTAACAGTCAAATTTCAAGTTTACCTGGAAAAAAACCTAAATCGACTTCTGAGAGTCTGTATAAAATGTAATTTTAAAAATATCAGTGAGCATTTCAATTTACAGGCCTGAGTAACTTCTTTCTGAAGGTTCAGATAACTTGCTACCTTTTCCAATTGGAGAGCTGTACGTCATGTACAGTGTATGTAATGTGTTCTGGTCATCAGGTTCATGCTATGCTGCAATAGTTGTTGTACAACTTATATGTGTCTTTTTTTTATACAGTTTTAAAACTATGTCTAACTGTGTGTATCTGTCACTCTGTACTTTTTCACTTTTTCTGATATAATATATATGGACTGTTATGCTCCTACAATATATGAATATGAAGCCATTTCACCCAAAAGCATTGCATTATCTTGAATGTCTTCATAGATCAAAATGACATGAAGTGCAGCGTAGCGGAGTAGCACAAAAGAAAACCTACTATTAGAGTTTTACGCTACGATTTATTAACATCATCACCATGCTTGAAGAAAACACAGCGTCATTTTACATTACTGGAAAGCCAAATTTTGAATATTTTAACCCTAAGTTTTCCTACAGACAGGCGTACTAAGCATCTTGACTAAACTCATTATGAATAGAATTGTCGCCTTAATTTCACCAAGATGATTCATCATTAATTTCACATAAAATTTTTGAAAAGGAAAAAAAACAACAAAGTAGTCATTTCAGGTATCCAACAGTCGTGGTCTGTTTGTAGGTCAATATAAAAACATAAACATCTGTAAGTTGGCCTGCCTTGCAGAATAGATAATTTTAATAACCACCAGAATATTTCACAACATAACTTGTACAACGAGCTGCATTAACTATTTTTCTGAGTCTGACTAAAAAAAACCTCAATGGTTCCAAATCTTATCATTCAAGATAATGAATTTAATTACTTTCAACATTGAAAGAGACTTTTCAGTACCTTTAGTAGGCCTCCACCCATTGCCCTCCTGTTAGTTCTTTGTGTATGCTTTATGACATCTAGTCATTTGTTGCTGGAATTCTCTTAATCAAAGAAAAGTGAAGCATGATATTTATTAACTATTCAATTCCTTGTGCTGATGATAGCCAGTTCTGTAGCCAAATGAAACAGCTTGAACTAGATAACCCAACACTATCATCAGACAGGGTTTTCCTTGTTGGCTGGTTCCTTTGGTTTCATTTGATCCACTTGACCAGCTACAAATATAATAATATCAATGTGTAACAACATTATTTCATTCTTGTGACAGGAAAGAGTTTATGGACTTCCTTGTGGCTTACAGTTACAGTATTTTTGCTTAAGATCGTTGTGGTGTATGCTTTGCATAAACAGAAAGTAATTTTTACTAACTTCTTACCTCTTACTTCCAGAGGGCGTGTTGGTGTCATAGAGACAATAATAATATTGCTATCTGTTTCATTGCTATCTTTGACACTGTTTGTTGTGAGTATTTCTCTAAAGTTCCAGTTCACCGACTAAATGAGAGTGAAAGTGAAAGACGAATGCAAGAAAAGGATTGAATGAATAACACAGTAGCCATAAAGATAAGAGTTCTCTTCTAAACATGTTTTCAACATTAAATTATTCTCACATGCAAAAGCTTTCAAAGCCAGGAAAAATTGTTGGAGTCATATAAATTATAAAGCAGCTCTTAACCTTTATTATTTTGTAAAATTTAGTAACAGCAAGGGCTGCCAAAATGAGACCAAGATTCATTAAATTTTACTGATAAATAGTTCCGGCCAAATAAGAAAAGTAAGAACTACCAAGTAATTAATTCAAACATTTAAAAAAATCTACAATTTTAATTAAGTGACAAACAGATGGTCTTAGAAGGCAAGAAAATTCCCTGTGAGTTTGTAAGATGGATTGCTTGAGACAATAAAATGTTGAAAAAAAACGTTGTTTGTTTCGTGATTTCCAGTACATGACATGTATTTTTTTTTCAGCAGCTGACGAGTAGGTCTTGCCAGGGATGATTTGAATGTACCCTTTACAACAAATGCTTTCACCATCAGAAATCCCACGTGCTTGTTTGTTTATATCTAAAAATAAATTTTAAAATATAAGCCCGGGTGTTTTATGGTCCCACTGACACCATTTAGAGTATTTTGGAGGCAGACTTGATCCTGCCTGTCAGGGCCAACCCGTCATGCCTGAGAGGGATACAACACCCTAGTAAAAAGACTGAGATGTTCGATAAAAATTCTCCCCACTCCGGAAATCTAACTCAGGTATCCTGTAGGTCTATGCAACAGTGAAGCATCTGACCACTACACAATAGAGGCCGGTTCCTTATTCTAAAACTTGTAGATCTATGCTTAGGCCATACACTGCAAGTGATTTCGAAGGTGGAGCACTTCATTCTGAGGTCAGTGGAAAGATTTTTTTCCTTTGTCTGAGTAAAGAGAAACACATCGACACAAAAATGGTCATTTAGTGGTGGGGGGAAAAGTAAGAGAGACAGACAAAAACAAGAGAGGGAAAGTAAAGAGGTAGGACCTACAAGGGGTGCCCTCCAACTACCCACTTAGTGGAAAGGGAAAAAAAGGAAAGAAGACAGACCAAACAACAAAGTGAATCAATCATATCTGAACATAAACGTTCGCATGTGCTATTCTATTCCACCATTTGAGAGGTCACATCTCATGCTTTTATACTGTTGGTCTATTTTCCCTGTTTATGTATAATCTTCTAGACAAAAAACCCACCAAAAAGCAGGGGGAAGGGAGCTCCCTCTTCTTCTTGTTACACCTTCAGATTGATCAAATTGAAAGAATATATAATCTAGAAACAGTGCATAAATAACAGTGGCAGGTCAAAGATGCAGTGGATCAGAAATCATAGTTGTTGGTATTTTTACTGTTACTATTGTGTCATTATTGTTATTCTTGTAATTCTGGGACTGGGTGTTATTCCAAGCAATTAAATGACACACTCTTTTTCAGCTTACGTTATGTTAAGTTGCAATTTAAAGGAGAAGTGGGCCATGGGGATTTCTTCTCTTGTTAAACATTTTAAAAAGATGAAATCCAAGACGTGCAAGTATGTACTTCATTTATTTACAAGATGAATGCACTGAAAGTGCTGGTAAATGGTTCAGGTTGCGTCAGTGTACATGGACAAACATAACACATCATCATAGAATGGTAACCAATTAAATTACTGGAAGTGACAATAAAACAAATTGTTGACAAAATGATGTATTTTGCTACAACAAGCCTATGTTTTACAAGACCAGTTAGACGAATCAATTCAGATCTCTCAAGAATAATTTTTTTGTTTTTGTTTTAGTACATGTAAGTGTTTTACGGCACTTGCAACACAATATAAGGTCATATAATTGCTGAAGATTAGAGGTGTTACAAGAGAGTAACAAAGACAAAAAAGGAGGAGAGATAAGGATGACAAATGTTTGATTGGCAAGAAGGAGCAGACCACACCAGGGCATCTGCAAACCACCCACCTTCATCTCATGTATTATGCACCAGTACAAATCATTAAGAACAAAATAGAGAACAGCGATAAAAAATCAGACACACAGATACAGATAACACGTGTCAACAAATTTGGCTAGTTATATTTACAAAAGTTGTCAAATTTCAATATATGGCTGTCGTTACCATGGTAACCGTAGATTCAAAAAAAAAAATCAGTTACATTTTACAGAGCTTCCAGCAGCGGATGTCATATTTCGAGGATTTTCGGGTCCAGGGCAGCGCCCTGGCAGGGTTTTGAAGGGGGACAGCGCCCCCCTTACGTTAAAGATTTTTTGGTTTCAGGGCATCATAAGTATGCCATTTCTGGCTATTCAAGCCCAAATTTAACAAGAAAATAAGTGAGAAAAAAACATACCTTGCATTCATAATTTTCTGCTCGTGTTAATCCATATAAATCCAAAGCCATGCTTTCTCCCTTTGTACCGATACTGTACATCCACTACAGTAGTATAACAGCTTGATCTATAAAACTTGACAGTTAATGCTTAACTTTGTGTTGGTTTTCACTAATTGCACCATTATGTGTAGAATCCTTAATAAATACTTAATAGTATAACAGCTAGAATCTAGATTCTAAATCTAAATAACTTGACAGGTTATATTCAACTTAAATCCTCAACAATATGTACAAATAAACAAGTCTGATGAAAAAATCAAGCTCTCTTCAGAGTTTTCTTTTCTTGGTAGGCCCAAGATCAATTGAACCACAATCGTCATGTCTTCCTCTTGTTTACAGTTACAGTGCTGGTGTTCTGCTTGTGCTTTAGAAAGTGAAAGTAAAAGACACTGTCTACACTTTCAAATAAAAGAGCACTTCCGGTATAGGTTGGCTATTAGAGACTATTAGTAAATACGGCAATTTTCTATTTCGCATTTTTGAAAATAATTAGTAAAAATATTGGTTTTTTGCACGAATTTTCATGGAAATTTTTCCATTTGCGGAATTCTGGAAGCACTGATTTTAGAGATGTTTTTGCGTTATACCTCCTTGCTATACTATAAGGCTTTATCTGAAAGGTCATATGAGAAAAGAAGGACATCTTTTAATATGAGTTTTAGTTTCAGTAAGTGTTTTACGGAACTTGCAACACAATAAGGTCATATAAGTGCCGAAGATTAGAGGTGTTAAAGGGAGTAACAAACAGGAAAAAGAAGAAGGGGAGATAAAGGCGATAGAGGTTTGATAGTAAAGAAGAAGCAGCAAGAAAATTGTTCAGTCTAAATTTAAAACAACATGAGCATCTAAAAACTGCTCAAAGTTCATCAAACAGGTCGCTATGACATATCATCCGTCGTCTGCCCCTGGGGACCCGTGGATGCCACTAGCTTGACCAGACAAGTGATGGCCTTTTCTAAGCCGTGAGACTTGACCATCACTGAGAACATCTCTGGAGCCTCGTGTAAAATCCCTTTGTCATCCATAGCTATCACTGTAGAAGTTAAAGAAAAAAAAAGCATTCTTGACTGCCAATAATAAATGGGAAGCATAGGGCTAAAATGCATCCTTCAGTGATAAAAAAAGAACACTATGTCTACCAACCCCCTCCCCGCCCCACCAACAGTAGTGAGCTGCAGAATTGTTAAAAAGAGACACATCGTGAGTACACAAAAATTTGTCAGGCAAGGGTGCTAAACTAAAATTGAAAAACATCTTAATCCCCTCAACAAATTTAGGTACAAATGAGTACAGACAGCGCGAACATGCAGCACTCGAATTCACTGACAGTTTGAACAAAATGACATTCCCTGACTTCCTTATGTAGGCAGCATGGTATTCTTGAACACTTGCATGGGTTTGTTGAACAGCTCATTTTGAAAAGCCAGATCTTAATTTTCCCCAACAATTTTCTGAGTTCAAATCACTGTGTGCCCAAAGGAAAATAAAACAAACCTATCATCCGAGAGAGTGTCAGGTTACATGAGCCCAACAGGCTTGCCCCCTCCCCTCCCCCCAGCTTGATACACACACTGCTGGTATTGAAACACATCACTGCACAGTGCATGTAGTGTGTGCAAGGCACTAGAACTTCCTTGAATCTAGTCTCAAGTGAGGATGGGTAGTAGGTGGTGGGATGTGATCGAAGACAGACGGTGTGGAGCTGTATTAGGTCATACGGTTTGTGAGTTATGTTTGTGTGCATCTGTGTATGTATGGTTGTTTCAATGTGAAGGTATGGATTGGGAATTGATTACACCAGAGTGGAAGGTGTGCTCCGACCGACCAGTTTTGATCATGACTGTGATCTGAGTTGTAAATCTAAATAGCATTATTCTCTTCCTCTGACACTGAGCAAGGTGCATGTACCATCCATTCCTATATCCTTTTATCAATACTGGGTATGACATTTTTGGAATCCTACAGGTTTAATGCCTCTTGTCATAATGTAAGGCTATTCAAGAGACGGGATCTCTGAATTTAACTTTCATCTCTGATAGGGCCGATCCAAATTGGAACATTCGTGTAGTGCATTTCCCAAAGACACAACGTCTGGAAGCTTAACGACAAGAATATCTATGCCACATTCAGGGTACTTTTCATGATGGCAGTGATTTATTTTTCACTCTGATTTCCTTCACCATCACTCTTATTTTCAATTATACTTGTTTACCCAACTTACGAATGTGCTGAACACATTTGTCAATTCCCTGATGTGTTCACAATACCCGGGCTCCACTGTTATTCAACATTAAAAGACATCTTTGGAAAAAAAAAAGCAATTATCTAAGTAAGCAGAAAACACATACATGCTTGCGGTGCCTCCACACTCAGCCTGATGTCTGGCTCCACCCAATAGTTGACTGTTTTTCTGCCCCAGTCCAGAATGAATTTGGGGCTGAAAGAAAAATAGAAACACTTGTGGAAGGTACAGTATGGTTTTACGACCTTAGCGTTATTGGACAATTATTTACAAGAACAGGCATCTGAATTGAACTACACGTTTGATAAAGCCGAGCAAAGTGACTAAAGAGCCTTGAAAACTTCCAAAAGAACTCAGGTTCAACATAATGTTGGAGATTTTAACCACTGTAATCTGCACCCTACTCCATCACTATACAGATAGAACTAATGGTGTGCCCTGAAGAAGCACAAAAACACCCATTTGTATGTCCTTTATTGCAAGGCACAAGAGGATAACACAAGATGAAATTCGGTCAAATTTGGAGAAGATGGAAATACTGATCCCCTATAGTAACTGATAATGATTATAAGACAGTAGGCCTACATGAGAATTTATCACAGAGACATCAACTAACACAGAATTCTAAATATTTGTGGCAAACGGAACATTACTGCTCACTGCTTTTGGACTAACCTAGTGCAGAGCACAGCGGTCACATACACTAGATTACAGTATAGCATCTGAGGCACAATACAGTACAGTATGTTGATCTACCCTTTTATCCGTTGTGTATCTCAAGCTGACAATGTTGAAGAGAAAGCAGAATGAAGTTAAAATTGCAGAACTTACTGAACGTGAAAGAGGTAGATGAGAAAAAAAAACCTTTCAAAAAGTAAAATTGGACACAAACATGGCATTCCCAACTCTACGCTGCCCACAATTATCGCTGAAAGAAAAAAAAAATTGACATGGCGAAAACTTGGGGAAAAAACCCAACAACAATTCCTTTACCAAGAGCCGATGGGAATAGCTGCATCTCTGATCTCGCCTCAAGAATCAATGTATTTATATATGTATACATAATATAATTCACAGGATTTGGGTAAGTAATTACTTCCCTGTAAAGTGCATGCCGTTTGAGCAATCTCTCTAAACAGAAAACAGGGCTACAAGAACAAAATCTGACAGTCCTGCAGATTTCCGTGTAAGTACTGTAAATGTCACCAAAACTTCACTGATATTGATAATATTTCAGTATACAATTAACATGTCCTTTTTCTTTTTCTTCAAACAACCATAAGTCTTCTTAGACCTCTGGGGCCTGTGTTGACAACATATATATGTAGGCTCCCTACAAAGACTTTCACTTTTCCTGGTTGTGAGTGAAAGCCTGGGTTTCTACAAAAGGAATCCTGGTCCACTCAGTGAAGTTGTCTGCCCATCATTTCTTTCTTCTATCTCTCTTTCATGTAACAGCTATTCAAATAAGATGGTACTCCAAAACAAGCAACTGCAACCAACAGTACCTGCTTCCTTGATTTTTGTAATTGCCAAATTCAGAGTTGGAACTGAACTAAAGAGACACTTGTTGGAATCAACATCATAAATGTAAGGTCACAGAAAACCAAAGGATGGAATTCCACTTTTCCATTGTAAACTTTTTTTTCCATAGTGGTTAAAGTTAAAGGATACATTCCCAAGTCACTTCTAGAATGATTGATAAAGAAAAAGAAAACAACCTGGCGTTGCGCATTTCAAATCCATGGCAATTACCTTTGGAATAGAAATGACAAACATTAACTTCACTCAGCTTTCCTGAAAGTAAAGAAAAAAAGCAATATAAAACCAAATATATATCCCCTCCCCCCCCTACAAAAATAAACCCAACAATGCCACCCCCCCCCCCCCCCCACAAAGAACAAACAAAAAGCAACTCACTGGTCAGGTTTTGGGTTTGAGATAGTCAGCTTCACCCTGTTCTCCTCAATGTCCACTGTCACAAGCTCTGGGTACATCTGTGAAAAATGTTCCACTAACTGACGTCTGGTCTTGACCCACAGAAGGTACGTCTTAAGCAGGCTGAACACTGAATGTATGGCAACCTCATCAGCAGCCCTGCAGATCACAGACTACATTATAACTCTAATTAAGGTAAAGTTCACAAAGCTATCAGGAAGAAAGTGTAGCATTAGAATCCAAAAAGTAAGAGATCAAGGGGAAGGCCAAGTGGAATCTAGAAAAGAATCACAGAGACTGATTAACAGAAAAGTGCAAAGACATGGAATAATGCCAAGAAGCAAGCCCAATATAGGGCAACGTGAAAAGTGTTTGTCCTATACCATACCCTGATCAAGGGTGAGAAAGGCAATAATGATGATAAGGACACAAATGGCAAAACCCTGTGCGTTGCCGGATCAATAGCTAGACCAACAAGTTAAGAGTACTGTAAAAATGACAAAGAGACATTCTGTAGCAGTAATGTGTAAGTTAATTTGAGGTTTCAGTTATCACGTTGGCAGGTCCCCTAAAGAGAACATTTTTTTTAAAGATAAAATCCAAAACAAAAAAAATGAATCAAACAAATAAATCAAAATTAGTAAGTTTTTAATATAACAATATAATTAAAGACAAACACCTAGAAATTATTCGCAAACAACACAGACAAACAATAATCTATTGATTAACAATGAATACATTCTGCATTTATTTGAAATTTCTTTTCAAAGATGAGAAACTATCAAAAAGGTTCACAAAACTGGGTGAGGTCTACACACTGTACTCTCTTGAAGTCACACTACACTTGGGGCCATCACTAGGCATACAATCAGTTAAAATCAGATTCACTTATACAAGCCATACAAGCATGGGAAGATGAAAATCGATCCACAATAAATTACAACATATTGTCATCACTCTTTGCACAGCACTGCCTGTCCATTTTCACTATAATTTTTTGTGAAGACAAAATTCCAGTAAATTTTGTCATAAAGAATATGATAGGCAAGAGAACGTACTGTCATAACTTGAATATTTGTGAGACTTTTCCCAATATAATACTAATCTGATATCTAAGACTAATACATCAAAATACACCCAGTTTAAGGTTTTGCTTATTTCTGAGACAGACAAATTACCGATGAATTTGAATATATGTGTGTGTGCGCCTGGAGAAAGGTCCCTGTTGTCGGAAATTTTGGATATTAAAATAGGGGCATAATCTTGTAGCAAATTTAAAATTGAATACGTTGATTAAAATTTTTGGGAAATATCTTGAGTTGTTTAAAAAAAGCCACATTTTGAAACACAGGGTGTAAAAATGTTTGGAGATATCCCCAATTTCTAGCATATTTTTAACCTTTGGTGAAGTTCAACATGTTGCAAAAATAACAAATTAAAAATCTTTTAGACTTAAAATACTATAAAATCCTTTCAATATGTAAAAAGAAATGGTTAAACCTGTGTTTTCTGAGGGAATTAAATCTTTGACCAGGTTCGACTTTTTAGGCCTTTTCACCTCGTTACTCATAAGTAGCTTTGCGGCTGACAACTGGGATTTCTTCAGGCATGCTCACATATAAAACATTATTTAGGTTTACAAAACAAATATATTTACTCAGCGATCATCTCTCCTATAGCGTCGTTGATGTCCTGCTCAAATGTGACCTCAAACCAGGTGATCATGCAGCCTGCTGGATGGGACTCGTGTTCAGTGTGACTACTGGCCTACAGACAAAGTCATGAGAATACAACACAAGTTCAACCTAGGGAATTCGAAAAAAAAATCTATTCAGCTAAGAAACATAATAATAATAATAGATAGCATTTGTATAGCGCAAATCCCAGCTCAACAGCAAGCTCTATGTGCTTCACCATCTATACTACTATTACCCCAGCAGACCTGAGAGCATTCTGAAACAACCTCAATTTCCTGGGAAGCATACGGTGCAAGCAGCCATTTATAGGCGCTAAAACACTAACATACTGACAAGATCTTTCGCTGTCATTGGCTGGGTACCCATTCTGACCTGGGTGAAGTGAGGAAAACTCGTGTCAAGTGCCTTTCCCAAGGACACAATGTTGGGCCTGCAGCTCGAACCCCGAACCCGCAACCTCACAATTACGAGTCTGGTAGCCTAACCACTAGGCCCCCGACGCCACGTTTCTACAAGTGAATAAACAAAAGCGTGTATTAAAAATGTGCTTATCTCTAAACATTTGTGACATTTATGTTGAAAATATCCGGGCTGAGATGCTTGCACTGATTTCTACCCTTTGCACCGAAAAGTTCATATACATGTTCTCTAGAAATATAGCCATAATATAGCATCTAACCTTGAGCATCTTTGCCAAAGGATCTTATTGGGAATTTTATTGACCGTTTTACATGAACATCTCCACCTCCTGTCCTAAATATCAGCAAAAATTATAAATGCAACTTTCCACATAACATCCAGTTGGTTCTATATTTCTATCAGCCTGAGTCCATGTTGTCTATATACATCTCTAAATCGAAAAAAAAAAAAAAGGCTGAACAAGAAATACTACTGAGACCAGAATGAAACATCAATCATTCCATGTCACCGTCAAAATGGAATTCATAGTGACTTGCAACCACACGTATGACCCATACAAGACACAAGAGAACCCCAGGTAAAGTAGCAGTAAAATACACACCCCTTCTGCCAAAGCAGTATCAGTCTTTAAAAAAAATAAACAGAAAATCATATCTCCTTAGACAAACAACCAACTTGATCAAAATCTACAAGAAGGAATGTTCCACGAAGAAAGACTCATATAACAGAAATGAAGGGTGAAGATAAAATAGTTGGCCTACATTGTGCTAAGACAGCTTAAATAATTCCATGTATTCATCGAGTTGGAATCCACAGCGACTCACATAGCACCCACCACAACCATAGGAGTTCTACCTATGCAACAATAATTTGTCCCAATACAAAAGGTTATCATGTCTCAATATAAAATGTTAAAGGTATTTATTACCAGAGTTTCCTGCATATCATAGACGAGGTGAACAGTTCTGTCAAAAACCTTCAGCTCCAAAGAAAACCGCTTCTTGCAACGAAACTCATCTGCAAAAAAGCACAAAAAATAAATCCATAAATCTGTTTGTTACTTTGTTTATAAGCATTTCTTAATAAAACATAGCTTATTAAAACTTCTAAACTTCTTAAAGAATGAAAAAGAAACTGTTTTATACTTGATGAAATTATTCATATTTTACCAAAATATTTCATATAAACACAAAAAACAAACGAACATATATATCTGAAATTTACAAAACATTCACACAAAAAAGATAGCCCCCTCCCCCCCCCAGTCAAAAATACAGTTTCCTTTTGAAAATGAAAGTTTTCTAGCATTCAGGAACACTTAACCAGTATCTGTTGTGTAATGGAAAGGTTCTTCCCCCTGCATGAATACATGAGGTTGATTTCCACCTAGTGAAGCTATTTAATGATAATATAATAATAATAATAATAAATGACATTTATATAGCGCTCAACCCCGAATAAAGTACACAGGCTCTGAGCGCTTTACAATACAGTACAATATACAACAGTAACATAAAACGTGTTCTGACTAAAGAAAATTATTCCAAATATTCGTCTTATTAATTTAAAAACAGAAATGACTTTAGCTGACATTTGAATGAATCAAAAGATTTGATCTCTCTTAAAGTACTTGGTAAAGCATTCCAGATCTTGGGGTCTGGTATTCAAATGCCCTTTCATCCATTGTTTTAAGTTTCATAGATGGTAAAATACATTTCTTTTTGTCAGCTGATGACCTTAAACTGCGCGTTGGAATGTACAGTCTTAACAGATTTGATAAATATGATGGTGCATTATCATTCAAACATTTGTGACATAGGGTGGCCAACTTGTACACAATCCTTTTCTCAACAGGAAGCCAATGCAAAGTTTGTTTCTCTAAATTTCTACTGGTATCAAGTATCCCCTATAAGACAGCGCAGGTTGACTATGGCATGAAATTATCTAAATACAGTCTATCATACGCAAAGCGAACACACACAAAATGGAACCTGCACATAGCAAAATGCGCCCATGCTGAACAGATTTTCAGGTCCTTCATTTTTTCTTATTTACATGCATATCTTTATATTTAAAATGTGTACATATTGAAACTTGTAAATGATAATGAAAAGGTTTCTGTACTTCCCTGATTTTGCCTTGTACATGCTAGACTGCAGTGCCACTGGAGATAATAATGTTTACAAAGAGGAATTACTTACCCATCTCCAGGACCTCTCGCTGTACTTTCTCTATGGTGATGTCTGTAAGTCTGGCTGTTTCAGCAAGCTGAGGACACACACATAGAATCCAGATAGAATTGAAAGACATGTCTTCACAAAATATAAAGATAGTGAGTAAAAAATGTCTGCAAAACAAGGGGTAGGAACACGCTTCTGAAAAATCCCAAGCAAAAACTGAACTAACCTCTCATAACAATGCATCCAGAAAACAGACGTTCACATGATATATAAGGTGTACTTTTATGATTGGATTTACTTTACTTTACTTTACTTTTCCGATCCAGCAGCCATTTGGGTTCTAGCCCTTCAGTCTGTCGATATGGCAAAGAATTTACGGGTTACGATTGTATTTAAAATGTTGCAACAATCAACATTTTCATTTACTGGTAGTCAGTTTTTATTTTCTGTGACTTCAATGTAAGTATTTAGTATAGTAAGTGTTTTTCGTAATTTACAAGTTAAGCAGACAATAAGGAACAACATTTGTACAGGTACGTTGAACATTTTTGAACTGGCCATGCTTGAAATGTTTAAAAAATTCAAGTATCATCAAATATAATACAAGTACATACTTCAAAACAAAGTGATATTTCCCTCTTGGGATCAACATGGACAGGTTCTAAATGCTCAACAATCAAATAAGTGTGTGTGTGATGACAAATGTGATGAAGTGAATAAACGCCACATTACAACCCCCAGAAGTGTCTAATTGATTTGGCATTCATCACAAACAAGCCATACAGAAGACACCTACTTAATGATGGAACAAGAGCTGTACTTCAAAGAATCCATCAACATTATTTCTTACATTGGTAACACTTGCGGACTTCAGCTTATTTTCTTTTAACAGCATTTATTTGGCAAATTAATGTTTCTGAACTTTTGAGAGTCTTATTTCAAGCAAGTCTCCATTCATAATGTCCGTGACAGATGCTAGCAAAAATGTTCTGTCCACCATCTAAATGTTTAGTCAGTCTTTTAACAGCATCGACTTCAGTGTCAGAAAAACAATCCCATTAATATTTCCGTTTTCTTTGTCATTGTCCCGGAGTATCGAGTAATGCCTGCTCATTCTTATAATTCAAGTTCAGGTCAGCCCTATGCTTTTCTTTCTCTTCCCATATTTCTAGATTTTCCTCATTCACCTTGCCCGAGTCTCAGTTCTATCATCCTTTCAGAATGTTAATATATATTCAAGCTTTCCCTCCACATTTAGGTGTTAGAAAGTTCCACAGAATGGGATTGGAGCTCCAGAAATATTGGAAGTTTAGACTACAATCTCTCTCTAGTCAGGCTTCTTAAACTAAGCAAAAATGAGGACAGAAACAACATGCAAAATTTGAGGAAGGAAAGTCTAAAAAGATAAACAAATGAGTAACCCCCCCCCCCCCCCCCCCAAGTCACTAGAAAATTCAGAACAGACACAAAAAAAGAAGTCACCCTATGAGAATATTTCTTGATGTCTGCCTCCAGCATATTCTGTACATCAGCGACATTGGTCCCTCCATTGGGCCTTTGAAAAAATATACCAGAAAAAAAAGAAGATATCAAACTTAAAAAGAAAAGAAAGGTGACAAAGTGTGACAAAATAGGAAACTGACACTGAGAAAACATCCTTTTCCCATATATAAATAAATTATCAATGACTAATAAAATATATGGAAACAAAACTAAATGAAAGGGCATACATCTTTAACAACATCATGTACCAAAACTTATCTATAAATATCTGTAAATGATGGTGAAATTGTAGGAAGGGGAATGGGGGTGAATACACACTGAGTAGCCTTAAAAAATTTCTGAAGTATTTATATTTAATGCCATCATAAATACATTTACATAATCATCAAAGCATACCTGGAGCTGTAGGGTGACGGCTGAATTAGTCAAAGTATAACCAAATAACTGAAGCGTATTACAATATGGTTTATATAATATACAACCCTAAGCATGGTACTCAGCCCTTTTACCTTTGCACAACTTGATAGGGATGAGATGGCAATCGATCTGGCCCAAACTGTTTGATTTGCGTTTTCAACAATTTGATTTCTTCTTCCAGGGAAAAGATGGTTTCAGAATTAACTCTCTGAAATTCAGCCAGCTCTTCCTTGCTTAGGCTGCTCAAGTCCTCGGTATCCCCCATTTCTACAATCCAAAGGGGTTTTCATTGATTTTTGACAGCCTCTCTGCTGAAGGAATGCAAGATAATTGTGAGGCATCATAATTAAACCAGGCGCGGGTCAAAAATAATGAAATGGAAGAAATCAACATTTTTTCCATCCATGAGGCAATTTTTATCGAATTTTTTGTTTTGAGCTCAACATCTTTTATGTCCACATAAAAATACATTCCTGCATGAATTTAGGAAGGACTTCTGTAATGAGGGATCACCCCAACAAAAAATATAAAGAAGAGACCTAACCATAGCCTCAACCCCAACCCCATATCTATTTCACAGTGGTGGTTCGTATGGAATTCCAGCCTGAATTTGACTGAAAAGCATTGAACAAAGGCACAAAAAATGTTTTATATTTGCACTTTCTATGAACACCCTATCTCAGAAATCACAAAAATTTGGCGCCCATTTTCTCGCTAATTTTACCTCTCACACTAGGCAAGCCCTCACCTTCTTCAATAGCAAATATCCCAACTTCTATTTTTAAAAAGGGTACTTTTTTCAAGCAAGACAAATGAACAAGCCTTTAGTTTAGTTTTAGTAGAGGTTTTATGGCGCTCGCAACTGCATAAGGTCATATGAGCGCCAAGGGGTGGATGTCAACAGAGAAGTCCTAACAGGGAATCAGACTTACTCTGCTCACCTCTCTAGCTTCAACAGCACAAAGTCTGCTTCGACTATCAAGGCACCCCGGAAATAGATCTAGTAGGTCACAAGAGTGTGACAAATATATAAAAGAAGTAGAGGAAAAATGACGATAGTAAGGATTTGAGGATTAAGAAAGAAAAAGCAGCAGTTCCCTGTTGCAGTTCAGGCACAGTTATGAGCATGACATTGACGAATCAGCCCATTTACAATTACAATACTACTGTGCATAAGAACTCAAGATGTTAATGTCCCCCTTTTGGGAATGGCCTAAAGACACTTCAGTCAGTAGCACCGCTCGGGGTGGGGTGGGGGGGGTAGAACAAGTTTTAAGAAGATACCAATAGATCTATATCTCAATCTAAAACTTGACAAATGCTTGATTCCACTGCGTCATGATACAATTGGCATATAGGCCTATACTCCCCTTTTTGCATCCAAAACCACAAAACAAAAGATCCTTTGCTTTGCACACACATGGGGGGTTTCCCTGAATTTGACCGTAATTTGAAGTTTTGCAATAAGGCTTGATTGGCTATCTTTCCATAGGGCCTAGCCTATCGGCATGCGAATAAAAAAGTAATCGTTTAGTCTAGTTTAGAACCAGAAGTAATCGTTTGTGGGGTCAAAACGAGTAGGGCTATCCCTAAACGGGACCGCAATTTAATTGTACAGGAGTGCCCAATCTCTCCCGCGTGTATTGATGTATGATACATGGGGTTGACGCAAAGAACAATTCCATAAATAAGCGTGTTCCCGTGGTTACCCCTGGCTCGGGCAAGTCTACCGCGTTTTTGCGCTGCCGGACTCGAGTCTGAATAATTTTTATTTATTTGGACTCGAGTCTGAATATGGCTTCTATCTATTCAGACTCGGGTCCGAAATAAAATGTTCTGTTTATTCGGACTCAGCTTCTACGTGAGTTATGTGAGTGTAAGGAGGTTACATAATATAACTGTCGTCAGGGGATTTTATGTAAAACCAGAAATAGAACTAGAATTGCCTACAAGGACTGTGTAATTGTGTCAAACGTAAAAAGACTGCACTCTCATTAGATCTACCCGATGGCAGTGTCTAAAGTACACAGTAACCGACAATTCATGGTCTTTCCACCACCACTACAGCATCATCATGACTTCCTCCTCCATTTGACTGATTTGTCTTTCCACATGTTTCCTTTTATTTTGTTGTGTGTTAATAGTTTTTCTGTCATTATTTTTTTAAAAAATCACATGGCACAACACAAAATTTAAAATGCACAGCCGTGGCCTCTTCCCAACACCTCTACCCACAGCAAGCCGAGAGTGTGATATCGCTACGCGCGATCTTATTTGTCGACCTAATTAACTTTGCCCCTGGCAAGGTCTACTCAACTTAGTTGTTCTGTTCAAACTAATAATCCAGGGAGGACCAGTTTAAATAGATCTAGTAACTGATATTAAAGTTCACGTCTCGATTGTTATCATTATTATAATGTAAAAAATATTTCATAAAGGCTGGAAATATTTAGGAACAAGGGTTGGAAGTCGGAAGGGACGTCACGCTGGACTAATTTCAGAGTCCGAATATAATTTTTGTCTATTCGGACTCGAGTCCGAATAGTCACTTTGAGTAGCTAGATCTATATATATCTAGATCTATTAAAATGCTAAGGGGTAAATTTTTACTTTCACTCCCGCACACAGAAGCACTGCTTCGGGGGTCAAACTGCATCACTGTTTGGTGCAGATCACAATAAAGCCACTAAAACTATCTCAAATCAGTTATTTTCAGGAAAATTTCAAATCTAACTGTAAATTATAATATCAAATTATGGGTTCAGATTTTCTTTTACCTCAGGGGGGCAGGCCCCCTGGAATTCCCCCCCTCCCCCGATTGTTCCAAAGCACATCTATCTCGATTAACCCTTGTCCTGCGGGGGCCGGGTTTATGTCGCCCGATAAGCCTATTTCGGCACCTCGCTTGCATTCTGGTCCCGCGACTGTCTGGCCCCTGGCTCAGGGCACGCGCGCCAAGCATCATCTCTCGTTCAATTCGGGTCCCGCGTCGGATCCCCATTCCCGCAGGTCAAGTGTGTGTGCGTCAGTCTGTTTGAGTTTGTGCGTTTGTGGCCTTCTTCTAGAACCGCCTGCGTTGGTTTGTAACCGAGGCATACGTCTTATTCAAAACACGCCAAGTTGGTAGTTCTAGATGTTCGTCCAATGAAATTATAAAAGAAATTGGCCCACTTAGACATGAGGAGCTCGAAAGGATAGTCAGGAAACTAGACTTCCATTTTTCTATACAAAATCTTTCAAAAGAGCTTGATTTGTATGAAATGATGCTACCTGATAAAAAAATAGGCCGGCACTATTTCTCCGAACTTTCGGGAAAATAAAGCTGGGCACTATTTCTCCGAACACTCTGAAATCACACCCTTTCCCGCATATTTCGGATAATAAAAATAAAATATAGATCTATAATTATATTATAGGCCTACCAAAGATTGTTCGTATACAATATGGTTCAATCGGTCCAAAAAATGTCCGTATTTATATAAAGAAATGCTACAGTTCCAAACAGTTTTTCGCTACAGATATGACGTGTGGCCTATGAAGGGTGCTGCTCTTAAACTTAATGTGTTGCGTTCACTCGTGAGCTGTCTAGATCTAGATCTATGGAGGGTTATTGATAACGACACATAGAGCTAGCATCTGCGTTTGTCGAGGCCGTGACCAATCAATCGTGGCTCGATTTTTTGGTCCCCGAAAAAGTCAAAAAAAAAGAAAAGAAAATGAAACTCTTTACTTTTGAAAGAAAGTTCACTTAGCTTCACTTCGTCTCTTTCTCACTTGTTGTCACCACGTTGATTTGTTGAATACGTTACAGTTACATACGATTTGTATTGCTGTTCCTCTTTTATTTTTCGTTCATTTTTCCCTCTTTGTGGTGTTATATTTTGTTGGTGTGTATTTTTTTTTCTTGTTATTGTTCTGATGTGTTGTTTTTCTATTAATTTTTTTTTTGTTGGGGAAAAGGGGGGGGGGGGGGGGGGTTGTATAGTGTAACGTCATTTAATTTGATGTTCATACAAAAGGTATTGTGTTTAACGTCATTTAATTTGATGTTCCTACCTTCATTAGAATCTAAATATATATACCTGTATAGATTTAAATGTGCTATATAGATGTTAGAGCGTTCCACCAAAACCAAGTACATGTACTGACACTGGCAGGCCCCCTGTGTGTGGTTCCATAATTTCCATGCAATATCCTGTACTTTTTTAAACAAATTACGCACATTTAGGGTTAAAACGGTCAATCTTCTTCGGACAGGTGGACACACGCCCTTATTTGTTAATTGTTGTGGTTGTTTCTGGGCTGTTCTAGTTTTGATTTCATTCTGTTGTGAAACCTTTCTTTTTCACGTTTTTACACTCATCTAAAAATCTCTAGACTAGATCTAGCTCTTGAAAATTGAAATAGATCTAAACCCAAAAATTTGCTCCGTTTTTTTTTTAAATGGACGATAACCGTCCACTCAATAGAAAAGAGGGTCAGATTTCTCCGTCTCTCGGGTGCCTCAGGCAGTACCCGCCTCGCTAAACCAGTGGGCACACGGCCGGAGGAGAAGCTGAGAACAGATACCACCTTTGATTTGCTCCTTCCCAGACCTCGCAGAATGACGGAATGAAAGTTGGCGCCGAACTCTCGCAAATAGGCAAACAATCACGACCAGAGCGGAAGCCGGAAACCGTTCGGAGAAATAAAGATCGGCACTATTTCTCCGAACGTTCGGAGAAATAGTCACTTCGAAAAAAATAAGCTAGTTTGATAATTTTGAATACCATTTGTGCAGGTACAAAGAACAATTGGGCCGAACAATTTGAGTGCAAAACATTCGGAAATTAACCTATATTATTATTACGAAGTAACGTACTTAAGTACGACTAGACTGCCAGTCTAGCCGTACTTAGATCTAGGTTTGGCCCTATCGACTCAAGCCTGTAAAGTACACAGGTCTCATTAGATCTAGATCTAGTAATTATTCAGGTTCAAATACATGCAAGTCAGTAAGGCACCTTTTAGTTTTGTCTGAAATACAAATACTTTAGGCATTGCAAACTAAAAATTTCATTTACAATTCAGCCATCAATATTAAGTACGGCTAGCCTGACAGTCTAGCCGTCCTTAAGTACGGCTAGCCTGGCTGTCTACCCATACTAAAGTACGGCTAGACAAGAAGTCTAGCCGTACTTAAGTACGGCTAGACTGCCAGTCTAGCCGTACTTATCTTAGGCCCTATTAACATTAGAAAACAGGAGGTTTAAAATACATGCACTGTCATTAAGGCACCTGGTTTCGTCTCAAATACACAAATACTTTAGGTACTGAACACTAAAAATGTATATTTACAATTCAGTAGGCCTATTCTTTGTAAATGGTCAGTCTAGCCATCATATTAAGAATAAGTACGACTAGACTGCGAGTCTAGCCGTACTTAAGTTTAAGTACGGCTAGACTGCCAGTCTAGCCGTCATTAAGTACGGCTAGCCTCTTCCATATTATTATCCCCTTTCGAACCCCAGGTCATTCATAACAACAAGAGTGTCTAGAAAGCTTCATTCGAAAGGGCGTAACTACTCGTAATGTCTTATCAGCTTGTAAGAGGGGATTATTCATGTGTTTGTAACACTTTATAAATAGAATTTAGAAAGTTATGAAAGATAGAGCGTTATTTTCATCATCGATTAACACACTCTCAAGGTATTCATGGCGAAAACACATGTTTCCCCATGCGCTGTACACCAACAGTACACACTGAGTGACCCCGGCAGCCTGCCCGGAACATCTGACGTAATCGGTTGCTGATAAGATTTGAATCTCAGCACAGACGCAGGACAAGAGTTAAAAAGAACAATCACAATAACTATTAATTTGCGACGGAAAAGAAGTTGATATTCGTCTTCAGCGCATCAATATTATTTAGTAGAATAAGGGGTGATCTTGTAGTTCCGTTCGTTAAAGTCCACGATCCATTTGTTTACATCCAGAGAAGAAATCCAGAAGTCTTGAGTCTTGATGACCAAAAGGATTTTCAAAAGGCAAACACAAAGAACAGGGATGCAACCTAACTGCAAAGCATCAAATTATGGTAAAATTCAGGGGTCAAATTATGGTAAAATTCAGCCCCCCCCTCCATGGTTTTTGTTAGGTCGGGGGGCAAGCCCCCCTAAAACCCCCCTACTCTTGACACGAACGAAACTACAAAATCACCGATGGACAACTGGGTAGCTAAGTTTGAGACGGGAGGGAAAGTAACAAAAATACCAATGACCAATGAGTCCAATGCAAAGGTCAACTGTTTCTAATAGATCTATATGTATGTCATATATCAAATCAACTGTTGTCAGTTGTTTACTGTTGTAGACCTAAATTGTACCTTGACCAGTACTCTCAAGTCTCAGCTAGAGAGCGTCATATATGCTCTGATAACTGAGGACTCTGATGGTCGTTGTTGTGTTTACAATTTTCAATTCGTACTTCGTACTGTGGTTATAGTTTATTTTCTCCCTCTCTATAGGGAGCATGTCATGAATAAAAATTAGAAGTGTGTTACAGTAAGATATATATTAAGATGTTCACGTGATTGATTTTTTCATTTAATTTTTTTGTGTAAGTTCAAGAAAATAAATTGTAAGCAACACTCTTATATAAATACTTGATGGATGTCCGTAAAAGAAATTTATTGCATAGGTAAGTAACGATGCAATAGAGGCTCTGTTTCGCTATTTTTGTACATCTTCTTTTTTCTGCTTATTTTTCTTCATTACTGTAATAAAAAATTTATACAGTGGTGAAATGCGTTTGATTACGTTTATTTACCCATTATGTCATATGTCAAACCAATCAGGACATTTGCATGGCGTTTTATTTAGACCCTAGCAATAACTGGTCTTATGACTTTATGGAAGGCACCCAAAGAGGCTATAAATAATGCAGTAATAGATATTTATCGTTTATTTATATTTTTTTTAGTTCGATACCTTACCAGTTTTCTTGTACTCGATAAAGCTAATAAACATTGCTTGAAATTTAATGAAGAAAACACTATATTTATCAGGTATCGATACTCAGTATTCATTCCAACAGTGTAGTCATGGTGACTGTAAACATGGCGTGTTAACAGCTGCTGAAGAGAAGCAAGCTGAACTTGTTCATGGTCCTTAGTTTGGATTTATTCTAAAGGCAATGTCTCACAGGTATTGTACATAACTAAGAATTAGTTAGAATCTATTTAGAATTATTACTCAAGATTTTTCCCATGACTTGTTTCCTGTCAATGCAAGCCATTTAACACTTACAGTACGCCTAGTGAAGGCTCATCATATATAATATATATAATATAATATAAGCATAGTAGTGAAAAACCCTCAGCCTCAAGACTAAGTAGGCTACCTCACCAGTTAAGAACGCTGCAACCCTGGTAGATATTTTTTTAATTAAAAAAAATACCTTGGCAGCCCAAAAAGCACATACTCTAAAAACTCATAAAGATTCATCAATTATTGTACATTCAGCTATCATATATAGAGTGACTTAAATTCCTTTGTATTTACCTCAGTGCAGTCGCGTCCATTCGTTGTTTAACTATGTTCAGAGTGCTGGTTGCGTCCGTGACTAAAGTCGCCAATGGTAGTGAGCGCTTATTACGGCCTGGCAACTAAAGTCTCCAAGGGTACTATAAGTATAAGTGTTAAGAGTGAAAATTGAAAATGACTGAACTCGTCCTGTTGTAGTGCTGTTAGTAATATTGTTAATGATATTAAAGCTCTTTTTTTCACGATGGATGTAGATTAAGAGAACTAGAATTTAGAGCCTGATCTGGACAAATAGATCAAAATAAGCTTCAAAAGTAGAGGATGATAGTACTTGTTTATTGTGAGATGCTTATTTTAATCGAATATATGGACTGATAAGGTACGGTACATTGATCATGTTATAAGTGGTGAGGTTCCTATGTACAGAGACAGGGGTGAGTTTTATTTAGGGAAAGAAGATATCTAACTTATTGAAAGGCAACCTTCGTGTCACATCTATTTGCTCTCTAGGGTAAATACTTAATAATAAACCTGGCCGCTGTGCCTGATACCATGATCCTCGCAGGAGATGAGGGCTATGCGGTAGCATTTCTTAAAAATTTTTCTGCTACCACCAGCCTTAGTAACCAGAATGTTTATTTTTGATTGTTGTATCATAATCCTGTGTTGTGCCAATTAAAACTCAGGACTGACTACTAATTGGATAATTCCCTGAATTGAAACAACCCTTACATTTAAACAACTTCTATACCAATTTTGATAGAGGTATTATTTTTCCTGTCTTATTCTTATCCAGGGCCAGTGAGTAAAAAAATATTAGATGTTACCTAGATTATCATTTCATTATGTATGGTAAGCCTAGTGATAACAAAGTTGTGTTTCAGGGCACAAGATAAAGAAAAGTGTTTTTCATACTCCGCATACATTTTGCATGCCCATCTACCTTTTATATGATATTGAAATTTATTTTTTGGAATATCAGATGGCATGAGTTTAAGTGAACACTTTTCCCCCACTCCTGCTAATACAAAAGATAAGTAATTCTGGTTTTATTCTCTGATAGTCCCATATCAATCCCAGTTGTGGTCAAAAGCTGGTTAAGTCTTTTATAGAATCTACTACTGCATTTTTGCATATAGTGAAGCTTTTTTCGTAACAATGAAGTTGAAACACAGGTACCTCACTTTTATACACTCATTTACTGTAAAGCTCCACCCTAGCACAAATGCCGAAGGCCCAGGAAATGGTCTCACTAACAAGGCAATCCCCAATGTCCGGATCGGATGCGGGAGCAACTTTACTTTTTATTGTAAAGTATTCATCCTTCTTAATTACACTGCTATGATTTCAAGTAGTACTGTGTTTAGGCCTCCCAACCTATTCAAACCATGATGCTTTAATTGTTGGTTTGTATGTCACAGTGTATGAGGTCTATTGTGCAAATCAGCTTATGTGTAACAGAAAAATGCAAATACAAATAGCAGATCTAGTGATTTATGATTGCCTTAAACACTACCCCTTGAAATATAGCTTTCTCTTAAATGAACACCGGATACCATTTCTTTTATCACTGAACAGACTCACTGATAACAAGTTGCTATTCACATTTCTGGTAAAGTGCTGTAACAGCTGAGCTCAAGAACTGGAAGTCATGATTTTAATTCTTTATTTGTGAATACACTTGTTTACGGCAGGAACATCTTTCTAGAATATAGCTTCTTCTTTTATATGAAAAAGATAACAAATGTAAATCTTAAGAAAACTGAGTTAAAATGTATTTTGGAAATTGAGGAGCAAAACAGAGCAATCCTAGAATTAAGACGTGCACAGAAGAATAATCAAATACATAGAGAAAATAGCTTTCAGGTTTGTCTAGTATAGACACTTCTTCCTGGCAAGGATCAAAATGAAAAACAACCCTGAAAAGTCCCTTCTTCTAATGCACAGACATAATTATTGTAAATTGTAGCCTACTTTATTCTTTTCCTCACATGCTATACAGTCTTATATGCTTATGGCCTGCAGCCTTTTTAAAAATCCTCAATGAAGGAAATAAATCAACTTCATCAATTCATCTAGAAAAAGTTAGAAACCAAGCTTCTGTTCATATTCCTGTCCTAAACTGTTTCTTAAAAACTTTAATCCAATAGAATTCCTATGCCCATACCTTATTTTTATCGCGAGAGCTGGTAACATTACTAATCCTTTTAGCTAACCACAGTTATAAATTATGATGATACCTGACCAGTTTTACTGATTAACATCTCTCGATCTCTGCATTTCTACAGCTACTACAATAGACAATGGCAGGAGGCCCAGGCTGCGTTGGTGGACCTCCTGCAACAGGAGAATCCTCCAGAACCGCCCAAACCGGAGCGGGTAAGTTTAGCCCCAGTTTTATAAGTGTCTGGTAAAAATGTGAACTCACATGTTAATTTTTACTAGGGTGTAGGTATTGATGTATCGAAGATATTAAAAACCATGGTTGGACAGTTTGTGAACCTGACAGCTTTTTTGTAATATTTTTCATGCGTGGGCACTAATCTTTTGAATGTTTATTAGGATCACAGAGAATAAATATGCCAGAAATAGATAAAGATTTAAAGTTTATTAATACTTTGTGCTCACTAGCTGAAAGCATTTTTGCTGCTCTGTGTCAGTATTGGAAACGATTACTCTCACTTTGCAAAGATTTTATCCAGCAGATTATGCATCTTGGTGCGTCAAAACTCACTGTATTTTCTTTTTCCAGGATCGCCTGGCTGCATTTCAGCTCCTTGCTACTATGTACATCAAGTACATTCAGATCTTCCGCAAGCTGGAGCAGTCTTATGATCAGATTGTGCACCCGCAGAAGCGAAGAGTTCTCCGTCACTGTCTGGATGGGGTCATGGGTCGCATTGTGGAGCTCAAGCATGAGATGATGAACCTTGAGTTCTCGGAGTACCACTACTTTGATGATGTCCTCTCTGATCTGAAGCTCACACCCGTGAGTAATTTTACTTGTGATTGGTCTCCTTTGTGTCTTATGATATGTATAGTAAACTGCAACACTGTATAGACCTTAGGAGATATGTGCATAAATGCTGCAACACTGTATGGACCTTAGGAGATTGGAATAGTAAAATAGTGAGTATTGGCTGGCCAAAGAAATGTTGCGTAGTCAGTTGCGTAAGCCATGGGTATCAAAATTCTTGAATTTGAAAACTCTCTTTTCCCTTTCTAGAATTTGAGTCTTTCCTTATTTTTTTTTATTAGTGTAAAGTTTCATGCAAGTAAATATGTAACGGATTTTTAAGAAATGTTTTTGTAAGATTTTGAAATTTATACTACTTAATTTAAAGGGTATGTGTTTCATTTGAAAGACTCATCTTTCTGTAGGCCTACACTTTTTATATTTAACACTTCGATTTGTTGTCCTAACAGAATGATGTGGAGATACCCATTCCAAAATATTTCATCAATGAAAGAGCAAAGAATCTGAAGGAGCGAGAGAAACTGCTTGGGCAAATCCTGGCAAAAATTGGACCTCAAGATCAAGACAGGGTAGGTGGCAATTGTTAGCGTTCTTGTAATAGCTTGTATTTAAAGTGTAGATGGGAACAGGATAGTGAGTTCTTAGTTCTTTTTTTCTTTTTAAGTATTAATAAACAGTGAAAAGCAATTTGCCATTTTCAGTTTGCCTTTAACTCATTCGCTACGCTGAGCCGTGGGGGGCGGCGCGGCTAAAGTGCCGTCAGTACGCTAAGCCGCCCCCGGCGGCGCGAGAACCGATCTTCAATTTTAGCTTAGATTCTATTCCAATCCACATATCCATGTTAAAATAAAGGTCATCATATTATGTTGACTTCCGGGTCAAGCATTTCCACTGAAAATGAAAATTGGAAATTTAGATTAAGTTTTGAAACGCGATTTCCTAGTTTATTCGACTTTGTTTTATCGCGATGCCAAAATTATAGCCCGGACACCAGTTTTTGTAATTTTACACAACAAAATCTATCATTATTTTGCCCACTAAAGAAGTGTAGGACTCTTTTTTATAATATTGATACGATTGGACTCATATTGCCAATGCACTGTTTTTGAGAAATCAATATTTTTGAGTGCTAGATCTAGGTCTAGATCTAAATAGTCAAAATATGTTTTTCTCCCCAAAATCACTACTTTTTGATGAAATTACACAAAAAGTGCCACTCAAGACATGTATAGGTTTATTCCAAATGCAGTTCTGAATAATTCCATACAAGATATGAGCGGATTTTTTTCTGTTTGTGATCGTTTTTCAAGATCATAAACATTTTTTTTTGTTTTAAAATATCGGATGTTATGTTCAAAATGTACAAATATTATGGAATATAGGTAAATAACTGCAAACTTTTCAATATTTTCCAATTCTATATTCATTTATGGTTATTTTGATGTATCATTTGACTAGGTGCAAACATATTTTTTGAGTTTCACCAAAGATTATAAAAAAAAATTTTTTAATTTTCAAATTTTATCCGCATCCAATCAAAACTGTGTTGCATAATCGTCTCTTACAGGAACCAAAGTTTAAAAAGACATAAATAAATATTACAGATGTATTCTACAAACCATACTGAAAATATTGGTATACAATACGTTGATATTTATTTGAATTTGTGGCCCCGACCATCGATGATTTATTTATAGAGGCACCAGCCATCCATGTCCAGGTGCTGTTTTAGCCAGAATTTGTGGCCCCAAAGACCTTTTAACAGCCCACTAGTCAACATCTCTTTCGCTCACCCTGACAAAAATTCGTCCACAAGCCGAAAATAATACGTAGCGAATGAGTTTAAGTCTGAACAGTTGAAAGGTGAATGCAATTTTCCTTGCATTTGGAAAAATGTCCCTCCTTCACAATCATATATTTGCAATACCTCTAAACATGAATGAAGGGCAAGGATAAAGGACATCCCAGAAGAAGAATCACAGTTGCCTTTTTAAGCATGCTCTCTGGAATTTTGTCAACCCGTTCCACCTGTCTATACCCCAAGTCATCCTTGTTTTCATTGCATTTACATTTTTTCACTCTAGGAAAAAGAGGAAATCCGCATGCCATGGGAACAAGCTGTCCGCATCGTGCAGATTCATGAGAGGGCTCGCCAAGGTCGTTTGAGGGCCAAGTTCATGCGTGACATTCGTCAACAAGAGGACCGTGAGAAACAAGCTCAGAACAGGGGAGCCCCAACGCTTGACCCTGATGTGGCCGCCATGAGGATTCAGAAGGTATTTTGCTTTGTTGGTTTTCTTTTTAATGTAACTGTTTTACACCCCTGTCATCACAGTTTAGATCATTTTGGAGGTGGACTTCAACTCTGTTTGTCAGGGCCAAACCGGGCTGAAAGGAATACAATATCCCAGCAGAAACTTACTCCCCATACGAATATCAAACTCAGGTTTTCTGTGGGCATTGGCTAAACACGTAACTGCCATACCGCAGAAGCCCGTTAGAAGATGTGACACTAATTAGATTTAAATGTTCAGAGCTGCTATTCATTTACTCAAGTTAAAAAAGAATAGCCAAACGCATATGTTGTATCTATTGTGGGTGGTTGGAGAGTGTTTTTTTTCTTTTCTTGTCCCCCTTTGTTTTAAAAACAAGAGTAGCTTTTGAACTTTCAAGGGATGCAGAAGAAAGAGGAACAAATTTTATCAGTACTATTTTTGTCAATACATGATTGAATTTGGGATATTGTAGTTCACCATGTTTTTCTCTTTTTTGTGTGTGCTTTGTGATCTTTGACATGTGCAGGTCAACATTTCTTATTAACCTTGTGTTCAGGTGTGGAAAGGCTTTGCTCAGAGAAGGAGGACCAAGAGAGAGCGAGATGAGGAAATGATTTTCATCGGCATGGTAAGTTTGATTACATAGTTATGCCTTTTAAAAAAATACTGTAGAGAGAAGATATCACGTAGAAGAAATTTTTATCCTTTCTTTCAAATTTCTTATATCAAATTTGGATGAAATTATAACTAACGAAAAAATGCAGAAGCAAGATGACTTAAATTACTACCTTGGTTTGTCTGTCTGTCTGCTTGCCTACCAGCCTGTCTGTCGTCCAATTTTTCTCACTCTGTTTCTCAATCTGTCTCTCTTCCTCTTTCCTATCCTCTCTCTCACTCAATGTCTTTCTCTCTCTTTCCTTCTTTCTCTTTTTCTTTGTGTGGTTTTAAAAAATTTTCTCTCACACCCCACCTCTCCTTCTCGTTTGCTTTCTTTCTTCGTCACTCCCCTCTGTCCCCTCTCCCCATCTCTCTTTCCTCATGCACATTCTCTCTCTCACCCAGTTTCACCCTCTCTTTCTCCTCCTTTCTCTCTCTCTTTCTCTCTCTCTCTCTCTCTCTTTCTCTCTCTCTCTCTCTCTCTCTCTCTCTCTCTCTCTCTCTCTCACCCTCTCTCTCTCCCCCTCCTTCAATCTTCCACCTTCCCTCTCTCACACTCTCTCTCTCCCTCTCCCCATCTCTCTCTCCCTCCCCCCACCTCTCTCTCTCTCTCTCTCTCTCCCCTCTCCCCCCCCCCTCTCCCCCCCCCTCTCTCTCTCTCTCTCTCTCTCTCTCTCTCTCTCTCTCTCTCTCTCTCTCTCTCTCTCTCTATATATATATATATATATATATATATGTATATATATATATATATATCCTATATATATATATATATATTTCCCTCTCTCTCACACACACCATCTCTTGTCTCTCTCCATGCGCGTAGGCCCCCGCTCCTCTCCCGACGAGCACTAAGAACCTGCCACAGACATTCGCGGCCAAGACAGAGGATCTGCGCCACAAGGCACAGGACGTTCATGAACACGAGTACCAGCAAGCCCTGGTCAACATCCGGGAGAACATCGTGCAAAACGAGGGGCCGGACATGAAGGAGACCATGATGGATCAGATCAGGCAGTGGTTCATTGAGTGCCGGTGAGAAGGATGAAAATAATAATAATAAAAAAACTTAAGTAAGCGTTTTACTGCACTTGCAGCACATTAGGTCATTAAAGTGCCGAAGATTAGAGGTGTGACAAGAGAGTAACAGACAAAAAAGAATGAGGAGAGATAAGGAAGATAGATATGTGATTGGAAAGAAGGAGCAAACAACACCCAAGAGCAGGAAAAATTGGGCAGGTGTGCTCTTCGTCACTACTGTAGTGATTTTAAAACAAAATCTTTAATTTGATATTTTTGTCCTGGATGCCACCCAGCTGTGTATTTTCAGTGACATGTCATCTGTGTCTAACTCTAACAGTGCACTTGCCAAATCAGGTCATAACTTTCTCTTCTCTTTTATTTCAGAATTGTTCAACATTTTGAGTGGAGTGTTCTTTTTTCTTATTATAGTATCACTAATTATAATTACAGTTGTGAATGACATGATCTGAGACCCAAAAAAAAAGGAAAAAAGGTTTGACCTAATTTGGCGGATTCACAGTTAGTGTCAGACACCAACGATATACATCGCGAGTTTAGTCTACATGAAGCCTTCATAAACTTTTATTTCACTTGGAGCACAACCTGAACTATTTTATTATGGAAACTTTATTCAATGACGCAACACGAATTTACAATGTTGTTGATATATATGTCATTAATTGTGATTTATGCTGTTGTCATGAAAGTCTCTTCTGTAATGGGTGTTTTATGTGATGTGGGCCTAAAGCACTGAATAGACACTTACTTACTTACTTATATCCCTTGGAACTGAAACAAGCCGTCTGTTTTCAGAGATGCAACAGGCAAGTTCCCTGAGTATCCTGATGCCGACGATGGAGGCTCCGCCATGATTTTCAAGGAAAAGGACCCTGCGGAGCTGGAGAAGGAGCTGAGTGAAAAGGTGGGGCATCAGAGTGGAGGGAGGGGAGATAGACAGATAGATAATTATCTAGGTGGATGGATGGATGGACTGATGGATGGGTGGATGGATGGATGGATGGATGGAGAGAGAGAGAAAAAAGAGAGGGAAGGGAAAAAGGGCAGACATTAAAAAAAGAGAGTAGAGGCAAGAGAGAGAAAAGGAGAGACAAAAATATATACGTAGAGAGGTGGAGGGGAGAGAGAAAGAGAGAGAGAGAGATAGAGAGAGAGAGAGAGAGAGAGA